GGGGAAATGGAGGTGGTGTGCTGTCTGACGTCTGGTGTGTGTTTTTCACGTGACGCGCGACACAGACAGACAAGCATGCAATGCAGTGTGGCTGGTGTATATTTATCCACACACATGACATGACATGGCAAGACACCACAGAGAGAGAGAGAGAGAATGGGTCTCTCCGTGACGGGGTTGTACAGAGAGGGTTCTTCTTGCCGTTGGTTGATTGATAGATGCGTGCGGCGCTTGATTTATTCAGCCAGACCAAAAAGAGTACCACGGTACGACGGCGAATGTCATGTGTGTGCTGCGAGGGAGCCTGCATGTTATGTCTGTGTGTATGTGTGATTGAGTGTGGCTTTCTTTCTCCGTGTGGGTGAGCGGGAGAGCTACGGTGAGATCATGGTGTTCAGCAATTGTCGCGTGGCACGTCTCGTCTGTACAGCTAACTAGTAGAGGTAGGCGATGTCTCTTCCTCCCTCCCTCCCTCCGTCTGTGTGCCTGCCTCCCTGTCTCTTTGTCAGCATAGCTGTCTGTCTGTCTGTCTGGCTACATGTGTGCACGTGTGGAAGGGGACAGTCAGTCACGTCGACACGACACACAGACGTGCCAATGAGATGAGACCCCGGTGACTGCAAAAAAAACATTCCAATGACCTCCGCAACCCTCAGCCACATGACCGATCCACTACCACTGAACCATAAACCCTATAAGTGATCTCGCTGATCTCGTCACATGAAATGGGAAATCACACTCGCAATCTCCATGTCAACCACCGCCTAGACGTCGTCGGTCTGACGGGCACACATCTCCGCTGGTCCGCACCCAACACCGACTGGGTCAGCTGGCGACGCTTCGCTAGCGTCAGCGGTTGAGCTGTCTCGCCTTTCTTAACGTCGCGATGATGGGGCTGTTTGCGGGGGGCTGGGGCACCACCACCATGCAGTAGCGGCTGGGAGGAATGGCGGCCTGCAGGAAAGCGAGCGAAAGGTGGGAGATGTTGGTTGCCATCCATAGAATGGGGCAAAGGGTGAGGGGAGGTTTCCTTACGTATTGATTCCCTTCTGCACTCCTCCTCCTGCGTGACGGTCGCGTCTCTGTACACAACACCGCCCCCCACCTGACCCGGCGAGGCCCTCACCCGACACTGCAGAGCCGACGGCACCGTCACCTCCTCATCGAACGTCATGGAGCCCTTGCGACCGCCTTTCTCTATCATATAGGTCCTGCACACACACACACGCGCCCACACACACGATGGAACAGGCGAAAGATCGTGCTGAGTCTGGTTGGCTTGCCTCACCTGAGAGCGGAGGAGACACAGTCCTCCGGCTGGAACCGGATGGTCCGTGGCGGCAAAGCCATCATCCACGCCTTGCTGTCTGTGCGGCGAAATCTCTCAAAGCTCAGCCGCTTGACACCGCTGGGCCGCCGCTGCTTGGGGGAAGACGTCTCCACCCGGCCGAAATGGATGTGCTTCTTTTTGGTGTCGGGCGAGAAGACGTCCTCGTGCGACGGCCGACCTTCTCGCCCAACAGGTGAGGGGGCGAGGGATGAGTCGTGAGAAGGCAGCCGCCTTGCGAGGGGCAGCGGTGCTGTGTCGGGAAGCGTCTCTGGGGATGGCTGTCGCTGCTCGGCCTGGTCGATGGTGTGCTCGATGGCCTGGAGGGTTGTCAGCAGCCGAAGCTCTCTCTCGTGTTCCTCTTGCTCCACAATGCTGCACAGATAAAGAGTTCAGAAGAGTTTTTTTTGTGGTGCGTGCAGGTGGTGTTGGTCACTCACTGGTCGTCAGGGAGTGCGGTGATGAGCTCGTTTGCGTTGGGGCGGTATTTGAATGCGTTGTACTCGGCGTAGGCCTTGAGCCACCAGTCGTAGCCGCGGTACACGGGCAGGGAGGCGTACCGACTCCGCACACCACCCCTGCACCAAAGACACAGAGATAAAGGGATCTCTCTCCCCGTCTCTCTCTCTCTCTCTCTGTGTGTGTGTGTGTGTGTCAGCCTGCGGTGTCTGGCGACTCACCCCTCTTTGTCTTTGTCTTTGTCGAGTGCTGGTGAAGGGTCTCGTTCGACCTTCCACGTCATCTGCGGCACGTGCAGCCGACGAGTGAACCGAAGGAAGCAGTCCTCGCAGATCTGACGATTGACGAATCCACAGTTGATGAGCAACGATGGCTGGTGGTAGGCTTGCTTGCCTTGACGCTGCTATATCTGAAGGCAGGGTCCTGGCAGCAGACGACGAACTGGTCGATGGACATGGTGGGGAATGCCGACTGCACCACCTGCGGGATCAGATACGACACCTCCTTGTCCGCCAACAGGTTCTTCAAACCGTGCAGGTAAGACATGCTCTCCCCCTGACAGTCAGGATGTCATTGAGAAATGGCCTCTGTGGTGTGGGTGTGCGGGGCTGGGTTCAGGTGACGGACTGACCTACCTGCATCTTGGCTTTGTGGAATGAGTCTTTGGCGGCGTTCCGCAGAGCCTGCATGCCCTCCACCAGACGGGCAGTGCCGATGCGGCCTGCAGAAAGAGATATGTAAATCGGGGCAATCCATCTTCTCCTCCATTTCTGGCCCGGTGCTCCCTCCCTCCCTCCCTCTCACCCAGTGTGTGTCCCGTCTTCTCGAGTGAAGGAATGGACAGCTTGTCGAGACCTATAGCGTCGCACAGCTACGCGACCACCGACCATCCACACAAAAGCCATACACCACACACGACAAATGCTGATCTGGTTGGTGCAACCAGACTCTCCTCCGCCCATCCATCCATTTCATTGACCGACCCTCTCAATGGTCTCCTGCGGCGTCCGGCAAACAACAGGTTCGATCCGCACCGGCACAGAAGGAGTGGCCATGGCCAGCCTGGCCCCGCCCACAGCCCCCTTCCCAATGGCATCAGCAGTCGCAGGCCGACTCACAAACCGGCCACCCGCCTTGTCCGTGGTGTATGTGGTGCGGGAGGTCCTCCTGCTGGCGGCCCTGGAGGACTGTGCGGTGAGGGGTCGGATGAAGCCCTCCGATTTGCTGTTGGTGAGGAGCTGGAAGGGGTTCATGAAGGGCAGGGAGGCTGGCGCCTGATGGGAGCTCCTTGACGGGGGGGAGGGGGGGCGCAGGGCGTCCGTGGGAACGAACGAGAAATCCAACCTGACCGCCGACATACGAGCCGGAATATCCCTCTCTGTAAGCGTGTCTCTGGGTCTTTGGTCCTACCCGTAGTAGTCGATGATTGCGTGCAACTCGACAGGGCAGAAGCACCGTCTTGGGACTTCCAGGAGACAGGAGGGGCACCGCTGTCTGCCCTGGGACTCTATGTACGCCGCGGTGGATGTGCCGCGCCTCGCACCCGTCCTGGCCTTGTTGGCCACCTCTGCCGGCAGTATGTGGGTGGGCCGGAGGGAGGGCACCGAGGACGATGTCGACATCGGCAACATTCGACTCTGAGGCACACCTGCATCCATCCATCCATCCATCCATGAGACACGGGCAAAGTGGTGTTGATGTGTGTATTGACCGAGCATGAATGTGGACCCCTGAGCGAGCGCCTCCTCCGCCAACTCGAGCGTCATGGCTGGAGGGAACTTCTTCACGACAAGCTTCTCCAGCAGCCTTTCGCGCCGTCTCTGCGAGTCGGCCGACCTCGCCGCAGAGAAGTCGCTAGCCCGGGACACCTGAGACACGACCGACTGCCGCCGCTCACGCATGAACGTCGGCACCGGCTCGCGACGGCCCTCGGCTGTGTGCTCGGCGGCATACAGCACGTCAATGTCGAGAGCGAACTTGGGTGCTGGTCCGCCTGGCTCCGCCCCCGTTCTCTCTGTCTCAGCTCGTGCGGCTTTCTCCTCTTTTTCTTCTTTCTCCCGCACCCCGGCGAGGTATTCCACCATCGATGCCAGCTCGCGCAGATAGAGGGGCACACGTGAGGGCCGGGGGGTGCTGCAGGTGAGAGGGAACAGGGTGGCGAAGGACGCACCGAAGTGGAGGGAAGAGGCGAAAAGGAGCCAGAGCCGCTCGGAGGGGTCGATGCGGAAGTAAATGACCATCCTCAGCAGCCGCTGGGTAAAGTTGGTCACGGCAGCAAAGTGCTCCACCATGGCGTCGCACGCCGTTCCCAGCCGGCGGACAATCGACGGCGACCGGACGTTGGTCGTCTCCACCAGGTGCTGCGCGCCTTCCACAGTGACCAGCCGGTCCATCAGGGGAATGGTATGGTCGTTGAGACGGAAGACGTTCGTGCAGACCTCCATCCACACACAATTGGGGGACCAGGTGACCTTGTAGGTCCGGCACCTCTCCTCCTTGTTCTCCACGAACTTCTGCAGGAGGCCCAGATGGCTCTTGGGCCGATAGTTGAGGAAGTAGGCCAGCTGGGCCTTGTCGAAGTACTCGGTGACGCCTCTGGTCTGCGGCTCCTCCTCGGTGCTGCTGCGGTCGCGGACTTTGACTTCGGTGTACATGGCGACGACGCCGCAGGGGGCCGGCCGCTTGCAGAGGGCCTGGTAGATGATCCAGTTGCTGATCTTCTCGCGCTTGGTGCGCTGCATCTGGCCCTCTGACACACATGAGTACATTGCGTGTGGCTGAGCCTGGCACAAAGAAAGAAAGAGAGAGAGAGAGAGATGCCGGACAAGCACCTTTCCTTTGTTCAGAAGCGGGTGGTCGGGTCGTGACGCATCATATATACTCACCCAGTGGTATACGATGGTGTCGGGTACATAGATGTGAGGGCAGCTGCTGAACCCTTGAGCCTCGTTGCGGCGCCAAAGGAGGTAAAAGAGATGGTCAAACGGCACCGACTCCCTTGTTCGCGACAGCTGGTCGGCAGCTGGCTTCTCGGGGGCCTTCTTCCTCTCGGTGGCGTCTGACAAATGGACTCGCTTGACCTCGTCCGAGCGACGGGGCTCGTCCACAAGCTGAGCGAAGCGAAGAGGCGGGGGAACAGAAGGTGACACTGAATGTGATCTGATCGGGTCGGGTTTCTGGTTGGATTGCCATCCTCTTCTCACCTGTTTCTTTCTCTGTGGCTGCATTCGAAAGCGTGCTGTCGTACTTTGTGACAAAAAGACGCCCCCATCATGATGAAATCGTCTCCCGCCCCCACTTGCAGGGGGAGCGCACAGCACTCTCTCTTCGCCCCGACAGCCACATTTCAGACCCCCAGTGCATGCCCATCATATTTAAGCATGCATCTAGCACTCAGATCTACGGCCATGCCAGCCAGATCTCAGATCTACAATGTCATGTTAGTTATGTATATCTCTCCTCTATCTATCTTCAATGGCCCGCAGGGTCTGACTCTCTGTGTCCGTCGCTCTCTATCAGTCCATGAGTCGATTGTATGCCTCCTCGACGGGCTTGTTGAGGTACACCGCCAACGTCAGGAAACTGTACAGCTGCACACACACACACACCACACACACAAATATACACACTCACAGCGCACCCCGCTCCCTGACCTCTTGTTTGGTGAAGTGTCGCCTGAGGGCCTCCTTGCGCTCAAGAAACTGAGAGAAATCTGCAAAAAAATCACACGCAAAGGACAGCACGTGGCCAGCTTCTGGCGTTGCGTTGTGTTGTGTGTGTCTCGTGCGTGTGACCTGCTTCGATGAGTTGCCTGACCAGCCCGAACCGCCGCCAGTGCAAGATGTACGCTTCCAAACTAGGCGCCTGCACACGCACAGGCAGTGAGTGCCACACACATACACACACACACACACACGCACACACGCACACATCTCCACAGACTGTCGAGCACCCCATACCCCATCTCAGTCACCATGGCATCGCTTGGCATCACAGCAGCCCCACCTGCACCGGCAGTACCGCCAGCAGAGGCAGCAGCAGCCGCTGCTGCTGCTGCTGTACCATCACCGCTCTTCTTGGGTGTGGTTTCCGTCTTGCTGCTGCTGGATGATGGCAGGGCGGGTGGGGGCGGGACGGCGGGGGGCCGCTGGATGTCCCTGTGTGCGGTGAGCATGGGGGTGAGCGACGAGTGGATTGTCGTCAGCAGGTGCGACAGGGCCGCACTGTCGCGGGAGGTGATCTTGCCCAACGTCAGGATCTACACGACCACACACACACACACAGAGAGAGAGAGAGACAGTCGGGGAGAGTGACCACGGTGTGGGTGGATCTGTCTACCTGGTGCAGGAGGTTTTGCAGGGTGAGGTCGACGAGCACGGCGAGCGCCTCCAGGTAGGTCTGCTGCGGCAGCACCTCCAGCCACCCCGCACTCACGCTCTTCAGGTGCTGCAGCGTCAGACCTATCGCCGTCTCAGCATGCGCGTAGTTGCTGCATTCCATTGCGTGCAACAGGGAGGGAGGGAGAGAGGCGCGTGGGAATGGGCGCCTTCCTGGTGTGTGTGTGGGGGGGGGGGGG